TTCACAATATCTTTTCAAATATGGACAAAAAATCCGATGCTTCCGATTGGTATTTTACAGGAAAAATAATTTTAATGAAAGACAATTTCCAAGAAATCAAAAGATCGAGAGTTGGTAGAGGAGGAACTGATCTACTTAAAAAGATAAATGAATACGAAGGCGAAAATTGTTACATACCTACAGATGGTCACTGTTTTATCAAATGCGTCAATCGTGTTTTGAACAAAGATTTAACGTGTAAATTTCAAGAATACATCAACGGGTTTTCAAAAGCAAATAGAAAAGGAGTGATGACTTGTGCTAGAATGAAGGAATTCAACAAGAAATTTAACACTTCGTTTCAAATTTATAATCCCAAAAACAGACATTTTCATCCCAGAGACGTTCACGATGAATTAGATTGGGTTTTTTACTTACACAACTCGCATTTCTGTCTGATTAGAAGAAGCCAAAAAAGTTTGGGAATTCAAGAAATAGAAGACAATTACGAACAGGTGTGGAAAACGTGTAGAGACGATAACGCAGTAACACAGGTTTCACCCCTCAAACTAAACGTGCTTTCGAGTATGAGTGATGATGCGTTATTCGCTTGGGATTGCGAAACGTATTCAGAAAAAGACACGCGAAGAGCAATTCCTTATGCCCGCACTTTAATTAATTTAGAAAAACTAAGAAAAAAGTTAGAAACGATAAAAAATATCTTTCCAAATATAAATCCTACTGATAATATTCCAGAAGAATTTTATGATAAACTAATGAATGTAGTAGAACTATTTGTAGGCACAGATTGTATAGATCAAATGTTGAAATATTTAGGTCAATATGATAGAAAGAGATTAATATTAATTTCTCATAACGGCAGTGGTTTCGACAACTGGATCGTGCTTAAAAATACAATAAAACTAACGCATTGCCCTTTAAAAACACCCAGAGGAATTCTATCTTTTCCTTTATCTAATCCATACACAGATGAAGATTTACCGAAAAAATGGAAAAGACAGAAATAAAGGGTAATTATTTACAACATATTAATTTCACGTGTTCCTATCAACACGAATCCTCTAGTTTGGCTGCATGGGGAAATTCTTCCAATCTCCCCGTGATTTTGAGAAAGATTGCCGACGTAGATATCGCTAAATACACGCAAGACAACTGGGAGGAATTGAGACACGAATGGGAACCTTACGCCAAGAGAGACACTCTCTGTTTGGGAGCTTGTTTGATAAAATACAACCAAGTCACGAAAGAAGTTGTAAACCAGAATATGTCCAATAATCTAACGGCTCCATCTTTATCTTTAAAGGGTTGGTATTATTTATATCATTACGATAAAGAAATGGTGGAAGAAGAATGGTATGAAACTACTAGAATGGTTGCGAAACATACCGAAAAAGAAAATATAGAAAAAGTTTATTCGCACACTAATCCTTTTATAAGAAATTTTATCAGACGATCTATTAAAGGAGGAAGAGTTTCGGCAAATAGAAAATCATTTGAAACGAACAAAATGGATGAAATTTGTAACGTATTAAAGGAACATATTTCACAAACAGAAAGTAATAACATAATTGATTTATTCAAAGAATACAGTGCAAGCACAAAAGACAAAACGGAGGTTCATTCGAGACTTAAAAAAATAGAATGTACTAAACTAATGGCATTTGATGCTAACGGTTTATACGCTTCCGCCATGTCGGATTTAGACAGCGAATATCCGAGAGCGGAAAGTGGAAGACCGTTTCTACCAGAAGAAGGAAAAGAATTTGTAAAACTCTTCAATAAACAAAAATTCAGACCTAGAACAGCTATTTTAACAGTGTGGTTTGACTATCCCAAAAACATGTTCTTCCAACCGATACCAGCTAAAGACAAAATCACTTTCACGAATAAAGGAGGTAAAAAGGAAACTGGTACTAAAATCAGGTTCAGAAATGGTTTCTGTCACGACGTTTTAACATCGGTCGATATTCATGAAATAGTGAAAGCCGGTGGAAGAATTATTAGAATATGAGATGGTATAGTTTACGAAGAAAATTTTAAAACTCCACCCTATAGAGATTATATTTTAATTTTGAGAGATCTAAGAAATAAATATAAACGAGAAGGTAATATCATGGGTAGTAATTGCATGAAATTATTGGGTAATTCCTTGTATGGTAAATCAATTCAGAAAGACATATTCACAACTAGACATTTATGGAATGAAGCAACTTTACAGGCCAACTTTGATTCACGTGTTAAAACCTATGAGAAAATTAATGATACTCAATATATTGTTGAAACAGAAATTGAAGAAAAAGAGATTACTACCGAAGATAGTAAATCTACACGACTAACACCTAGTCATTTAGGATCATTCGTTTTATCTCACAGTAAAATAATAATGAACAATTTCATTCACGTCATAAATGGATTTTATAAACCCGAAATATACTATACCGACACAGATAGTTTGTACATTTCATCCAACAATTGGAAAAAACTAAACAGAGCTGGTTTGGTCTCCGAAAAAGACTATTGCAAAGGTAAAAACGATTACGGTGACGGTGGAATTATATTTGGTTTATATTTAGCACCAAAAGTCAAATACAACATCGTTTTGACTTCTGATGGTGTCTTAAAAGAAAAGAAAACGTTTAAAGGTTATTCTAATGATAAGATAAGTGTAGAAGATTACGTTCAGTTAGCAAGCGGACATGATGTGTCGAACGAATTTAATAAACCGTGGGAAAAAAGTTTCACCAATGGAGTAGTTATTCCAAATGATAAACAAACTAAAGTTTTTAGAAGTTATTTGAATAATGTTAAAAGAAAACCACCAAACAGTGAAGGAATTATGTATCCTTACAACGACAAAGATGAGTATAGTTTTCATGAAAACTATGAATTTGATGATTTCGATTATCTTACTATTCAAGAAGAGAATGAAGATTGTTTTAAATGAAGTTGAATGACAATTTCTTCGTTGCCAAAGTCTATGAACCTGTTTTTACCGTCTTTGATTTCCAGATTTATATCTTTGATCATGAAAGAATTGACTGGTAAATAGGTCGTTTGAAACGGTTTCTCTATAATTCTGTATCCGATCGGCACCGTAAAAGTCGGTATGCTGTATATGATTTGGCTTTTGTGCTTGTTGAAAAATCCACCGTTGATCAAATTACAGTGAATGTTGATCAGGTTGATGTCGTTCTCGATGTTGGCCTTGTGCGGCGCCAATGTCGATTACGCGTATATTCGTTTATCGAACCCTAGTAACGCATTCAACGAATTTTCTACGTTGAAATCGACTTGACTGTTATTTCTCAAGATCAGTTGTATTTTGTTCAGATTCAAATTACCTTCGAATTCGATATTGTTTTTACCGTTCACGCTTCCTGCGTATTCGGATAGGTATTCGTTGATGGCTACGTATTCGTAGCTTCCCGGTAGTAAGCTTATGGTTTCGAACGTAACTCCGTTATCCGTCCATGTTTCTAATGGAATTGTAAACGGAGAAATACTTTAATCCCAGTTCGTACTGTTTATTGCGATCGAGTTCATACTTGTAGTCTAGAGACAATTTGATGTCTGGTTTATTCGAGGTGATAACGAACAATTGTTCTTTATTGGACATTTTTAATGACGTTTATATAGTCTTTTTTAGTGATAATTTCTTTCTCCAAAAGTCGTTTTAATATGCCATTGACTTCGTTGTATTGTCTGTCCGATCGATGACCTTCTTTCATGGCCGCTAATATTATTTCTAATCTATTAAGCAATTCTTTATTGTTGTCGGATAAAAACGTTATACCTTGTCCAGATGCCACCATATCATCGAATTCGTCTATTTCTTGTATGATTGGATAATCTTCTGCATAATCATCTACATCCTCTTCATCTTGCTCAATAACTTTTGTTATATATAAATCAACTTCTTTCAATCTTCTTATTTCGGGTCCCGACTTTCTGATCGCATGTAGAAATTTTGAGTATGCAACTAAATCCTTGTAATCGGCAATTTCAACGTCTTCGCCATTCATTAAATCTATTAATCCTCTCGTTAATGTAAATATAAAGTCTTTTGTGTCGATTTTGAATTGTGGTGAATTTCCACTAAATCTTATTCTAAAACCATTGAACAACAAACCCTCATCATCAACGATTGGTGAAATACTCTTTGGTAAATCTGGGTCAGGGTTTGAAAAAAGACGTTTTATATCATCTAATGTCCTAATTATAATACCATTATATTCAATCGGTTTGGGTTCTATACGAGGCGTGGGTTCTATAGCGAGTCTCTTTTTAATATCTTCTTGACTTTTTAATATGGGTTGAAATAGAGTCTGTAGATTTTCCGTTAATCCGATTTGTTGTAATCTGTTATTTTCAACTTGGGTCTTTATTTTATTCTTAGCTTTGATATATTCTCTATTTCTTTTTAAAGAATTATTCCAATCCGTCATTTTTAAAAAAATAAAATTAACATATATCGATCATAACTCTTTCTCCCGCAGGTTTTCTAGTATTTACAAATACATATCCATGATCATCTGGATTTCTCCATTGAGCTTTACAAACCTTTTTAAATGTATCTCTATCCATTCCGTGATTTATAGACTGAATGATTTGAGATAAATCTTTATCATTTAATTCAAATAATAAAAAACAATTTGCATTTTTTCTAATGAACATAGAATCCATCCCGTAAAAAGATTGGGATTGGTATATGCAGTGACAGTTGTGATGTCTTCCTTTGGTGAAGAATTCTTGTTGAACAGTTTGATTTCTTTGCGCTACGCAGTCGTCAAACAATATTAAGTTCTTTCGATTGCTATCAATATTAGACAAGTCTAGATCATTAACATTTTTCGTAAGAAAAACTTTTATATCCGTTGGATTGAAAGATGGATTCTTTGATTTAATGAAGTTTTCTATGATATCTTTTATTTCCACCTCTTCTTCGTTTTCTTCGTAATATTGAAATATGTCTTGAACATCTTTCTGTGGTAAATATTCTAAAGCTTTGAGGAATTGATAATACAATTGCTCTGGTGTTGTTGTGTAGATATACAGAGAATCGAAATCTAAAAGGTTTGGTGTTGTCAACATGTTAAAAGTGAGATGAGTTTTCCCAGGACCTGAACTACCGCAAATACACATGAGCATTGGGTTACTGGGAAATATGTCCGAATGTTTGAATTTCTTGCCCATTTTTATTTATTACATTTTCGTACCAAAAATCACCCCGTTGCCTTTATACTTTGAAAGGAAGATTCCCTCGCCCGAACGTATGTTTTTAAAAAATATGGCGTTGCCCTTGTGTTTGACCTTCATTTCTCCAGTGTCGATTTTATCTATTAATTTGCTTAATCCTTCTTTAAAGGTTTTCTTGTTTCTTCGCCAAATCTTTGTCCGAATTCTTTAACCGTCCCTAATATATCTCCTACTCCCGAACCTCCTCGTGCTTCTCTTTCCATTGCCAAATTGTGTCTACGTGCTTCGGCGTTTGCAGCGGCTTCAGCTTTCTTATCGTTGACAGCTTTGGCTATCCCAGCAGCTCCACCAGCAGTTGCACCGGCTGCAGCTAAACCAGCAAAGATTAAAGGTAAGATAGGTAAAAATCCACCTTTTTTAGTTAAATTCTCATCAATTCTTTCCAAGTCTATATCGTCTCTGACTTTGTAATGTTTGTATTTATCGATAATCTTTTGGGTTATATGCACTTTTTTACCGTTGTAAGTTATTAGTCGGCGAATTCGTTTCCATACTTCTATTATTTTCATAACTAAAGTTTCTGGTTTCATTTTTAAAGGGTGTTTTTTTTATTCAATTCTTATCATTCTTCTATCTGATATTTTAATCAAATGTTTTGCTTCTTCCAGCAATAAACAGTAGCCGGTCACATCTCCTTGTGTTTTATCGATGTGAATATTTATGTTTACCCCTGTTTTGAAAAGATCTTCTTGATGAGCTGACAGATCGAAACAAAAGATTGGATGATTGAGTGAAAAATCTGTGTATTCAAACTGAGGCGCATTTCCAAACAATTCGCACATGTTTTTATAGTTTCTGTACAATTCGTTGTAATCTTTTTTGGAAGGATCAATTGTCAAAGGTTGATTGGGATAATTATCGTTGTTCAATCTGACTTGAACTTTGCGAATGATGGGATCTTGAGTATGGTTCAATGCCACTCTGAAAATGTTGTTGTTGTTTGTCTGAGAGTCTGGCAAGTTTTTGAAACCGACCATTAGATATCTCGCTGGTTTGACGGTGTTGGTGATTGGCCACGTGGTGTATTCTCCCGTTAAAGTCATGCTACCTACAGTGTTACGACGAAGAAAAGCAATTTCGATGTCTTTGGTTAAAGAGTTGAATATTCTCGTTTCCACTTCTACGGAAGGAGTGATTACCGGTATGTAAAGTTGGATATTCGTTATTTCCAATTTAGCGTCAGAGTTGTTTTCACCAAAGAATATCTTGTTGTCGTTGATTTCTCTTTGTAAATGAATTTTATACGGTAAACCTATGGAAACCTTTCTGTGTTCCAAGAGACCAAATAAAGGATACAACTTCCAATTAACGTAATTACCCCATCTGTTGTTCTCGACAACGTTTTTGTATTGAAGCGCTCGTTTTTCAAATCTGTGATTTACTCCGCGAGTCACTCTTTCCAGTGTGTTTCTAGCAACTACCCTTATCCTAGCAAGGTCTGCGTCATTTGCTACAGTTCTGACCGGTTCTTTTAAAACTTTTCCGTCACCGACATCGGGAATCCATCCCGAAACTGAATCGTAGTTTTTGGGATACAGAACCGTTTTCAACATTGAGTCAAACTCGCCGGGGTGTTTTATGGTCTCTATCGGATTTGAACCAGCTTCCAAAACCATTTCGCTGAATAAAGACGGAAAGAAGTTGTTTTCTAAAGTCGTGTTGGTTTGTGGAATTCGATTCTGAGCGGCGTCTTTGATTTTGAAATCGCATCGGAAATGGGCATCGGAAAGCAGCAACCAATTGGACAACGAATTAATTTCAAAGGTAACTCTTCCTCCGTCGTTTATTTGGGTCTTTGTCCCTACCGATGGTGAGATGATTAAGTAATCCTCTTTCTTCTTGTTGAACGAATATTGAATCGGATCATACAATTGAAAGATTGGATCCAATCTGTAATTTTTGCTTGCCATTTTTATCCAATGATTTTAAACCCTTTTCCTTGTTTTTCTAGGGCTTGTCGTTCTAGTCTCTTGTTTCTTAGTTCTCTTATTAGCTGCAGTTCTTTAAGTTCGTCAGATTTTTTCACTGCATCGCTTATATTTACTCCTGCTTTTGCCACAGAACCAAGAGCTTGCGCTTCTGA